TGCTTGAAAAGCCTTGTTTAAAACTACTCTCTAAAACACAGACTCTTGCACACAGACATCTCGCCCAAGAATTTGTGAGTGTGATCTGTACATAGTAATTTAAAACAGGTCATTTCTCCTTCTTCCCCTAAACCTAATGTAAAATCTGTAAAGATGGCTGCAAAAAGTCTGAAGCAAGATTGACGGAGGAGTGAATGAAGCCCTAGTGCTCTTTCCTGATAGAATCATGTGGGGCAAGAGCCTTGCCCCAGACAGGACTAAATCTGTATCTATGATGCAGCTACTATTTGTACTAGGTAAGTAAGTCCTAGCACTGTACAAAACATACTAAAAAACTCCTGTAAAGTGTTGATGTAAAGATTTACATTTCCAGCATGGAAGGAATTTAAGCCTGTAGTTCAAACTCCCACTGAAGTCAATAGAAATTTTATGTCTAAATACTTCTCAAAATATAATGCATTACCACCACAGGTCAATCACTAGACACTAGATATACTAGCCATATTTATCTTAAGAATGAGTGTTACAGATGAAACACTTTTAAAAAATTTTTGCTGGCTGTGAAATTTGAAAAGATTGCTGTTCTTGGTGTAACAAACAAATCATTTTCTGTAGTGACAACAATTTTAGCCACTGGCCTAAGGGAAGCCTGGTGAATAAACACATGGGAAAACTAAAAAAATAAATTTCTGTAAATCTAAAACTAAAGAAAGTCCTAAAGACTTTGAAATAATATGTTGTTTGAAACATGCCTCGGTCTTTCTCAGATTTCAAAAGAAACATTAGTTCCTAGAAGAGATTTGAGAGGCCGTCTGTCTTCCTCTTGGGAATCTAACTATAGAGGCAGGACTTGACAGGCAACTTTGAGTGGAGCTTGCCCAAGAGACATTTGCTATTACTTCAACCAAGGGTATCTGTTGTTAGGAAACTATGCAGAGTTCAAGTGGTCCTTGGTCATATCACTAATCTTCTTGTTCAGTGATAAGATGAGGACATACAATTCACTTTCCTAAATGAGTTAATGAACTTGCAGTTTCTTTTCAGCAGGTACATCAAGACTGCTTAGCCATCAGTATAAATAAATAAATAAAATATTACATTGTAAAAAAATAAGAGGAAGAATTTTCAAAAGGAACTGAAGCAGATTCTGTGTCTGACAGTGACTTAAGTCTCAGCCAAGAAGTCTTTTCTTTGAGCCTCTTCTTCAGAAAGTTATCCACGGAGACAAAGAAGGCTCTTGCTGACACATTGATGCAGTTATCTTTTACAGATTTGCTGTGGGTTTAACAATCTGCCTGTTGCTTACAAAAGTAAGCACAAGAGATGGGCTCTTGCTACAAAGCCAACTAAAGAAAAATTAATCACTCCCAGTCAAGCCGAACATAGCACCTAGTATCTTCTGGTTTGTAGAGTTAAAACATTAAATGCTTTTTTTGCTGTTAAGTCTGCAGTGACCTTGCATACACTAAGGGCAGCAGACCAGAAACCATCAAACTGCTCAAAAATCCTGAGTTCAAAGGCTACATTCTCCCTTCACTTAACCAGGAGGAATTCTCTTGCAACAGAGTGAGAAAACCAGCACAACGGAGGTCAGATGATGGCTCTTCATTTATAGCTGTCTTCACAAGTGTATGTTTGCTGACCAAAATCCTACCATAAAGTTTCTGGTTTTGCAATTACAAGTTAGGAGGTCTATGTTAACCTCTTCGTTCTGAAGACTGGGATTAAAAAGACCTTTTCTATTTCATTCTCTCAAGGTATATGGGCCCCTGGCACAGAGGAATATAATTAATGAACCAAAACAGGAGAGGAAAGGCATGATCAGGTCTGCTGTAAAACTTAGGAGGCTCTGCATTTCTTGTAAAGAACAACAACTATATCCACAGCCCTGAGGCAGTGTGTCTTACAGCAGTTAGAATTATGCTGCTTGTAACCTTGCTCTGTCACTCACTCTCAGGAAGAACCTCAGGACACCACATGGTAGAAGCTATTGACCGATTTACAGTTTACTGAAATATGACTGTTATAGTGGTCCCTTGCTGCTTTTGCAAGATGACAAAAACAATTAGTCACTGCTAACCTAAAAATTAAATACATATCCTAGATTCTGGCAGCAAAATTGAGGGGGAGGGGGACTGTGGGAGGACGGAAGGATAAAAAGCAAGAGATCAAAAGGCTCGCTTTGAAACAGTGAAGTCAATGATTTTGAAACATTTCGCACTATATTCAGAGACTTACAGACTCAACCCTCCTGCTGGCAAATTTACTCAACTCTGTCACCTGTAAGCATTAAAAAAAATAATCTGACTTTGTACAGTGCTCCTCTTGCTCCTGCATGGCTACTCAGACTTCCAAGAAAGTACAAAACAGCAACTACCAGAGCCAATCATCACCATTCTACTATCAGAAATGTGATCACACTCTCCTTTCTGAATGATCATGCTTTCCAGACAAAGCCCAGAGCAGAGCATGAGATAGCAAAGTGAATTCAGAAATATGGGGAGAACACAGCTGCATTTGATTGCTAATTCTGACATTTGCCACCAAATAGCAGCGAACTGGCTTCACTGATGCTGGAGATCCTGAGTGAAAGTACAGTAGAAACACGAGGCCTGATCCTTTGCTGGAGTGAATGGTTTGAATTTTGCTGTTTTTTCCAGCTTGAGGACTGGGTCTCAAAAGCACTCTTGCTATCTTGTAAATGACAATAGGGAAAAAGTTGCTAGTTTTGAGGGAGGTGTTTTGTTTGGTTAGTTTCATCATTTTTTCAATTTGCAGCAAATGCTACTACTGCTTCAACTTCTTTGTTTATTTTCAGTCAATAAAGGAATCAAATTAATTTCTTCTTCCTACTGGGCAAAGCTTGGAAATTCTGGCTGAATTTCTGCACTTTTCTAAAATTTACTAAGTTTTGCTTAGTTAGGAACAACCGTGCTTAGCTCTCAGTAAATGCAAATATTTGTATTTTACTATGGGATTTAAAGGCTTTGTCTCTCACTATGTAGTTCATATTACTACTTTTCCTTTTATCTCAATGTTTCAACCAGGTGCCTATTGCTGTAGGACATAGGTCCATAACCAGCAGTAGTGAAGACAGAAGCCACTATCTGAAGATTTTTCCTAAGTGAATACAGAAGGCACTCAAGACACAGCAAATGATACAAAATCCCATTACAGCACTTCTTAAAGTGACTACCAAAGTGAGGCCGAAAATATGAGTTAAAAGCACAAATATCATTTACTTTTAATGTAACTTGTGCTCCCAACTTCCTTTGATATCCCATCTTACACCTTGCTTGTGAAATGTAAGAAGAAAGAGGGCTCTTGAGGAGCAAGGAAATTAATTTTCTTTCTCCTTGATTTCATCTCTCTGGAAAGTGTATCAAACTCTTTCAAAGATAGGCTGGAGGGAGAAAGGGGGAGACGGAGAGTGGAGAAGAACATTTGGAACTGTAGCTTCTCATCTCATTGAGAGGAACAATTTATCAGAGCTGTGGAGCTGTCAGTCCTTGACATGATAGGGAATAACACCAAATGACTAATGTTTCCTCCAAACCCAACTCCTTTAATTACAAGCCGCTTCCTTGCAGAAGAGAGACAGAAGATGCAGAAACACCAATTTCATGCACTTGTGCCTGAATAATGTCTCCATACTGCCTTTTCCAGATGGCAACCTTTTCACTGGAGGAACTAATGATGTGGGCATATTTAGGGAAAAACCAATAACGGAGTCTTTAACCTTCAACAGCAAAAAGCATGTTGTACAAAATGTTCCTTGGGATACATTTACAAATATCAATTACATTGCTCACTGAGGTGTAATCAGCTGTAATAATCAAAATTAATTTTAAAAAAATAATGAAACAGACCCCAGGGCAAATAGTCAATGCTCTTGTAGTATGACATCACAGTCTACATATGTACCTGGGAAGAACTTGCTCACTCTGTAAGCAGCAAAGTGATTTTTAAGGAATGAGAAGGATGCTGTAGCATGCTGAGGAAAAACTTGCAGCTCAGTAAGGTACTATCAGACACATTACTTGAGTATCATAGCCTTCCTGATCAACACACCTGGAAGTGAACCAGTCATCACTGGGGATAAAGCTGCAATCTACTACAGCTTGAGCTAGAGGGTTAATACTCCCTAAACTGATGCTGTAACAGACTCGCTGTCTCCTCAGCAGGAGAAAAGATGACGTTAATATGCTCAGCACTGCAATAACACAAACTCAGTCCAAAGATCTGAATATTCTCCCAATGCACTGCTGCTCTACCCTATAGCTGGTTACTCTAGCCCTAACACACTTAAACAAGTAACATCTAACTGATGCTTTTTATTTGTATGCTTGACAAATGCCTAGCAAAAACATGGAAATGGCCCCCTCTCAGCAAAGGAGGAGCTTACACATGGAAAAAGTAGTCCAGCTGCATTGCTGGCAGTAGGAATGCTGCACACCCTCCAGACCCATCCCTGGTTTATATAAGCACTTCTTTCCTTATCTCTTGAGGCTAAACTAAAATTTGGACCTTTAATACTTCATATTTAGTAGCAAATGACAGTACTATGGTAATACCTGATCCTTTCTACTAATTCAAGTGTCTGAAGGACAAGGTTTATATAAGCGATATAAATCAAAAGCAGCAGCAAAGCCAGCATCTTGTCACCTTGCTCTGACCCAAGCAGAGCCCTGTGAGCACAAACACACACAAGTTGTTTAGGTTTTTCCTTTCAAGTGCAATAATTAGGCCTCATACAAAACACACACATTAACACATTATATGTTAAGGCTGCCAACCAAAGTTCTTCGGATTAATGACTATTTCTTAGTGATTATTCCTAGGAGTCTAGAAATGGAACCTTAACTGCAATAGGTGTCTAGTTTACAATGTAACATGCCAACAGACATACTCAGAAGCCTTCCAAGTCCAGACAAACTCTTCAGAGCCCTATCAAAGGCAGACTGGTGACAGAGCCAGAAAAGACAAAGAGCAGAAGTTACCTCAGATTTGCATGTAATTTCCTTTGCATTTCGTCCAGGCATCAACCTAATAGCTGAAGAGAGGCTTTCACTCCAGGAACTGTGCTTGCTCTGTGACAGGCCTAGCTCTGCTTTATTCTGGAGAAGCTTCTTTTCAGATCCTGTGGGCCAGAGCAGACAGAAAAGCTTTTAAGACTTGAAGTTGAGCCTGTGGGAAGGAAGAGGGTTTGTATCCCTGCTACACAAGACACAATAACATGGCAGTGCCTCACTCCAACTGGATTGTCCTTCTATTTATAAGATGACACTGAATTAATATGTACTTCTCAAGTCTTTATTTAAAAGCCTCACAGGGGTCTGCCATAGATCAGTTTCATTATACGGATATGAACTTTGAATCCCTGCAGCACTACACACATTGGAATGCTTTTCTTCACCCAAACATCGCCCCTTTTAAATTCTCCTATGGGATACAATCGTCTAAGGAGATTTCTTTTTCTTGCAGTCCAGCACAAGCCCCCCAACATCACCAGGTGAGTACAGAAGCGCTGGGGCATGACACAGAAAGCAATCAGAATCCTGGATGAAAGAAACTGAGAATCTGCTTTATCTAGCAGGTGATGTGCAGAAGAAGGGTATAACCAAGGAATCAGTGGCTTTCCACTAAGCACTACATTTACTGCAATATCTTTGCTTACTACAACGAGTGTTCCATAAAAGAACAGAGACCTAGCAAGTGTTGCCAAGCTTTGGTCATAATTTCTTCCCATAAAGGAGTGATCTCTGTTATCTTCATGTCCCTTTCTTTGTCATTTCCTTTTACAGAAAGATCCATCTTGTAAGTGTCCTCCAGAGCCTGCCGCCTCTGAGAAATGAGCTGCTTCCAGATGATGTCTACTGTTCTCAGAATCTCCCAATGGACTAGGAAACAAAAGAAATGACAAATGAAGAGTCATTTTTTGTGTAAGAAGCCGAGCAGCAGATAAAGCAAAACCATCTCATTTGGAACGGCACTGGTCCAGAGTAACTGCTGGAGTCAGTGGAATTGCTCCATTTTGTTTGCTGCCTCCACAGGTTCTAAGCCAGACTAGTTAGTCTGATACAGAAAACAGCAGGACATTTCTTTTACTGTATTTCAACTCCCTGAAAGAAACAAGTAGGAGTGACAGATGAGTCTAACTGGTTTCTGCCTTGGAAAGCCATCTCATCAGAATTTTTGTGATCTTATTATCACACATAGAATGTTAAAGCACATAAAGGACATTCCTTTATGTTGCCAAACTTCATTAGAGACAGTTGGGGGAAGGTAACCAAGTCGTGAAACAATTTGACACAGCAACAGGATGCTGTACAAGGAAGTGCTGAGCTGTTTTGCTGTATTTCCCTGCAAATCAGACTTATTTGGTTGCATCATATCCAAGCCAATGTATTACAAAAAAAGAGCATCACTCTTCTGTAAGGTTCATCTTGCAGCCCCCAAACTGAACCCAGCTCAAATTTTTTCCAGTATTTCTCTTAAAAGAGCAAAGTGTTTCTTCCTATGTACAACAGACAGACAAAAGCTCTGTATAGGCCTTGAAAAAAGAAACAGAGCTACAAATAGTATGTATCTGGGCACTGATACTGGCCACAAAATAGGGAAGAGATCTCCAAACTGATATCCATTACTCCTGAGGATGTGGTGTGTGAATTTTGAATAAATAGGTATGATGTAAATACAAGTAATTTTTAGTACAACTTTCCTTTCTCTATCCTGTGCCTGCAGTACATATACACTGAAGAGACAATTAAGTAGCACTTGCGCAAGCTGCTTTGACAACTGTTTAGGCCAGGCATATTCCTGCTCTGTCAGTCAAAGGGAACATGTACCATAAATTACCATCATCTGGAGTAGGCAGGCTGCGCTTTTCCTCTTCACTGGGTGCAAGGAAAATTTGGTGATACGAAGCCAGCTTTGGTTTTGCATCCACCCCAAAACCTTCTGGATAGCTGTGACCAAAAAAAAAAAAAAAAAAAAGGGAGGGCACATGAGGAAACCAGACTTAGAACAAACTGAGGATAGTGAAAAAGTTAAACTTATTTCTACTCATCCACTCCTACTCGATTCATCTAGTAGATCAATATTCCCAGGCTTGAGGGCTTACACCAAACACATGATACTGCAGAATTTACAGGAAGTGGGAACTAAACCACTGCCAGTCTCGTTTTAAAAGTCAAGTAGCAGTCATCAAGATCCTATGGATCATTCCATTGTACATGCCTTATCCCTGTATTTCTTAGTACGCTTGTATCTACCATTCATCTCAAGTAACTGGAACACAGGGTTGTACTAATGTAGCCAGATTGCATCCAGCTTTCTTGTATCTCCCCTGAGCATCTTAGTATGCTGTCTCTTTGCTCTGAATTTCTTCACTAGAGGTATCTCCCATTATGTGGGAAACACTGCCTTGCTGTACCCTACACACCTGAACTGCTTACTTGGTCTAAGTTCTTTGCACCAATGATTGTTCATTCAGTTTATAAAGCACTCAGCACAAAAAAAGCCGCAAACTTTAGCACCATGATGCGCCAGGGGAGGTTCAGGCTGGACATTAGAAAACTTCTTCACTGTAAGAGTCGTTAAGCATTGGAATGGGCTCCCCAGGGAGGTGGTGGAGTCACCATCCCTGGAGGTGTTCAAAAAATGTTTAGATGTGGTACTTCAAGACATAGTTTAGTGGGCATGGCAGCATCGGGTATACGGTTGGACTTGATGATCTTTGAGGTCTCTTCCAACCATAATGATTCTATGATTCTATGATATTAGTATCATGTGGATGTGATTATAATTGAGAACACCATGGGCAAAAAGAGTTAGTGCTGCTTTGGGGGTGGGGTGGGCTGTGTGTCAGAAAATTTACCAGTCATTAGGTAAAAGACACCAGGAATTTCAGCACAGCAGTAATACTTACAAGTAATGCAACAGGCTTAATTAAGGCATCTAGACAACCTGGACTTGGTCACAGAAGTGCTGTGAATAATATATACATATTATATATAGCCACTAGTAACATACTGTGTTCTTTCAGTTGTAAATAAGCACTACTATATGGGAGAGTCAAATCTCTTGGGTATGCAAAGGTGTCATTTTTATTTCTGATTTTCTCTTAAATACCACAGTTCTGATTCCCCGGATTTGCTATGCTTGGTTGTTGGATAACATCAACAGTTCTGTGATTTATTGTTTAAAAAAAGTTTCTGTTCTTGCTACATACAAGTAATCCTTACCCCATCTCAACAATTTTGGCCTGGAAATTATTATCTGACTGCAATAAGAACAATCAAGAAAAGACTTCAGGAAGTGCAGGTCATTTCTGATGTAATACTACATTAATGGATTCAATTCAGACCAGCTAAGCAGCACAGGTTTTCATTGAAACAATAAACATCATTATAGTGAATAAAGCACTAGCCAATATTTGCTTCTTTTCACAAAACACAGTTTCCAAAATAACTCTCAGGCTTACATTAGCAAGAGTACCTCTGATACACCACCTGTAAGAATAGCAAACAGAGTGGGTATGTATGTTCTAGTCCTATCCAAGTCAATGACAAAACTCCCAACTTCAGTACGACAAGGACCTGGCAGCTCAGATCCAAGTAATCATAACAGAAAGATTCACAAGTTTCATGTATGTTTTCAATGTACTCACACAAGAATAGCTGCTGGATCAGAAAAACCATCTACCTAAATTAGCCCATGCAGATGTCTCAGAGAATGGCCACCTGCATGCTTGTGGAGTGATTATAGCCCCCATCCCAGGAAGATTTCCAGATTTTAATTTTAATGATGGGCTTGTGAGCCAACTCCACTGAAACCAGTTCAAGCTTGTTAACTGCAGTGACTACTCCAAAGTGAGTAAGGTATTGGAAATGCTGGATGAATAACACAGATGTTTTCGTTAATAAAGAATAGCAATTAAACCTATGTGCAAATTTAAGGATTCTGCTTAGACAAACATGCAGGCTTGTCTGGGTGTCTCTGAAATGAAACACCCTTTGCAAAATGAAAAAATGGAATTAAGTGTCAAGCTATTACCATCCACTGTGCCTTGCTTATTACACCCACAAACACACATATTAGCCTGCCTCTGAGCAAGGGAAGTGGTAGGAAATTTTCTGCTCACTAGTATTTCAAGGAAAAAGTAGCCTTCTGATTGAAGAACAGTTTATCCCTTCCACTTTCTTGCTGAAAGACAATCTATTGCCTCCAGAATACTGAGCACATTAGTAACCTTCCTCTCCTCCAAATAAAAAATTATATCAAAACATTTCTGATGTGGGGTTTTTTGGTTTTGGTTTTTTTTTGGTTTGGTTTGGTTGGTTTGTTTGTTTTTTTGTTTTGGTTTTTTTTTAAGTGTATGAGGAAAACAACCATCTTTCCCCAAGTGGCTTTACTCTGCCGGTTCAACAGACACCAAATCAGAGTCGAAGGTTTGCCCTATTTAAAGTAGAACGGTGCTTTAAACTCCCAAAGCACTGAGACCAATGGGTTGTATGCTTGCTAGGATACAGTACATACACTACACTCGAAGTCCTTAGCCTAACTGAAGAATTCAACTTGATCTCAGCTTCTAGCGATTCTCAAAAATGGATATAGCCTCAGTTTTGTGAAATCTCCCCCTCTGTACCCACTTCCATAGAATGTACCCACAGCATAGAATGTAAAAACAAACATTATACTGAGATGAACATTTGTACCTGCCCGAATTCAGTTGGCAAAGGCAGTACATTAGGCAGATGACAAAATTATTATTTGAGTTGTAAGTTGCAAAAATAACGTCCCACTGCTCCTGCAGGACATTGAGAGCGTTCAGGACATTAAACTGTTCAGGCAGCGACTGTTGTGGTCTGGATAGGCAGTATAGGATGGCTCTGTTTAGACAGCTGTACAGGGCACCAAGGAAAACTTCCTTTTGAGGGATGGAGCTTTCTAAGACCTGTGAAAACACAAAACAGAAGAATCCTTGGCTTGCTCAAAGAACTCTCTCCCCAAGGATCTACTCCTCTCACTTCATTTAAGCTGTTGCAAACTTATTTCAGCAAAATTACCCTAACTACCTGTTAGATATAATTCAATTTTTCTGTATTTCTGCTGAAGTACCTGGAATTGTGGGACAGATTAATTCATTCCTGTTCAGCAACACGTCCATAGCCAATTGACAGCAGCACAAAAGAGCTAACTATCCCTTCTTTATGCTGCACCATCTAGTTCTGATTGTCATTTAGAGCCATTATGTGCTCATGCAAGAAAACAGGAATAATCACAGCCACTAAAGGGATTACAGCCATCTTCTTGAGAATTGTGGTATCACAACCTCAGTGTGAAAAAGTACATTACAACATGTTGATAATAGTTGGAAAAAGATTTCATGTGGCTCACCCTCATAATCTGTTTGGCAGTGAAGATCAGGATTTGCTTGGGGTCAGCAGTAAACATTCTGCTGTTCAGCTTCTCAACCAGCTTCTGAGCAAAATAAGCAATATTCATTATGGATACAGGTGCAGTTGATTCTGAAGTGCCATGAGGATCACTGCTCCCTGGAGAGGATACAAGAGGGCTAATTATTCCAAAACAAGCTGAAATGCAAAAAAGATGATGAGAGATGTGAAGTTACCAGAGCTGAGAAGGAACAATCTCATGCCATAATGTCTCAGAGTTGGGACATGTCTAAGAAAACTCTAGGTCTAGCAGAAAAACCTGACTCATACTGGAAATGACAGCTCCATCCTAAGGATAGAGCCGATCTCACTAAAATACTATCATGAAGGACTAGTCCAACTAACAACTCAGAAAGGAAAGCCACAACTACTAAGTTATCAGGGTTGTTTCCAGAAGCACTCAAGGATAAACCTAAGTTTCTTTCTAAGTACCCCCTTTATAATGCTCAGAATCTGTTCTCAAAAAAAAGAAAAAAAAAAAATTGAAAAGGTTCTCCAGAAAAATGGTAAAACTAGAGTAAGTTATGCAAACTGACCTACAGCAGGAGTGAATGGACAGTCCAGCCTGCTGAGCTGGACTGTCCTTCTAGCTACTGTTTCCAAAACTTTCTAGCAATTGCAGCTCCATGCTAAATACCAGTTAGCTAATGATCTGATTCTCACCACTCACCTCTTGGTCTTGTTTTCCCGTCGCCTTGGCTGGTAACATGGAAGACATCCATAGCAGACAGCAAAACTTTTGTCTGAAAATGTCTTTTCTGCTCACTAGTGGCATCCTCCGGAGAAGCCTATATAGTGACCGTAGACATATTAGTACAGCAGGAAATCAGACTTAAATTCACTTTCAGCCTTTATTCAAAGGTTTTTGCTTTCATTGGATATTTGGCAGATTATGACTGTCAAAGATTCAGTAAAAGGTTTCCTCAAAGCAGTGAGTAGAAATTCTAGGAGACATGCAGTACCCTCTGAGATAATTCAAAATGTCCGACATTTCCCTTAAACACCTAGGCACCATGTTAGGAAGAGGAGGTGAAAACAGCATAAAACCAGCAAGGACAACTACTCCACCTCATTTGCATGCTTTAGCCCTTCGTGTGGGCATCCGAAACAGCTGCTGCAAGCTGAGAAGTTATCTGTGACAGCTAATCCACAGTATCACGTAAGTGCAGAAATCCGGTGTACTCCTCTGTGCAAAAGCAACATGGCAACTCTCATATAGAGTACAGCTAGAGTGCATGTGTGGACAGTTACTAGGCAGCAGATGAGATGGCAGAACCTCACACCCTAGCTGGGAAAACAGGAAATCTTACATAGGTCTACATTCTGTAGTTGACAGCCAGCACACTGAACACAAGCAAGGTTTTGCATAGGGACAGAACCTAGGTTCACAGGTGGTTCCCAAGAGATCTTGTCCTCAGGGAATTTCAGCTCCGTTTATCAGGCTCAGGATTCAGATAGTCAGAAGGGCCACCCTCTATTTTAAGCTGTACCAAGCCTTGGGATGTTATTGTATGAGCCTTTAGGGAACTGCTGCTCCGCAAGACGATTTAACTCATGACAGCTGCAGTCAAGCTTATGTTCATTATTATTTGTACTACTAAGCTAAGTCTGCATCAGAACTCACATCTGGGACACCTGGACTATTGACATTTTGGAGCTGAAGCCTAAATTTTCCATTTTGCCTTTCTTCAGACTGACTCCAGTGCTGTGAGTGGTTGAAATCCATAATCCAGACTAAGTTGCTACAGCTTGTACTAATCTGTACTAAAAATGGAGACAGTTGTTTTTTGTTTATTTGAGCACTGAATAGAAATTGTTGTCTCAAAAATCAGTACACAGGAATGCTCCATGTGAAACCTCCTGTTCTCAACAAATTCAAGGGTTGCTATAATGACAAGCAGGTATTACTAAGGGAAAAGGGAAATTTTTTTCACACCTTACTTCAGTATTAAATATTGCCCCAAAAATGCCTTTGTTGTTGTCTAGGGGAAGCATTTTCTTAGTTCACACAAATGCAGAGCAGGCAGAAAAGGCCATTCTTCCTTGTTGAAAAGGTAGGAATGTCGTTCCACTAAGTAGACTGTCCAGATCTGCCAGGAGGTAGTGTATGCTCTCTAAGAGTTGTGATCCCAGCCTTATCCTAGACTGTTGAAAATGCTGACTGAATACACCTCTTTGTCACCTTAGCACTTTTTTCACTAGGCTGCTAGCAGGATACCTCCTGTTCTTCCACCCCCAGTGCAAGGTAGAGCAGCAAAGCCTGATGACTACAAGAGAGACCTCAAGAAGTAGCTCAAGTGGATGCCCTTGTTTGTTTGCTGGGATGTTGAGAAGACTGTCCATCAGGAGGACTCGTACAAAATCCCACACTTGTTTCTTGGCAGGGTGTGGTAGGAGTGGGAGAGAGGAGGGATCAACACAGCCTTTCCCTTCAGCAATGGCTGGACCATCAGGAGTCAAAAGGCCTTCAGAGCCTCCCTGTGGAAGCAGACAGCAATGCATTTTAACTCAACCTCCTTTAAATTGATTTTTCCTCCTAGCAACCCATCTCTGATCTGAAAGGCTTGTGGCTGGCTCAGATGCACATACCTTGGGTGGTCCAGAATGGAAAGCAACCATAGCCAAAGCTTTCAAGAAGTCAGGACAGTGCCACACGGGGTCCTGAGTATAACGCTGGTAGATCAAGCACAGAAACTGGATAATGTTCCCTGGATAGGCAATGTCCCAGGAGGCTTCTGCATCTGCAATAGGCTAAACACAGACAAATGTGCACCTAGTCAAGGTAGCATTCCTCTCAGTCATATAAGCCCACTTTTGCTCCTCCCTATGTATTCCTAAGCAACTAAGCAAACATGACATGGCCACAGAGAAGGCAGGCAAGGCACAAGCAACCAACCTCCAGCTTGTAGACTGAAGATATACCCAATCAGAAAGGTGGCATATCCTCCTCATCAAGAATGAACAAAATTGGTAATGGTGTGGGTAAGATCCATCTCTGTGTTCAGAAGTTTTTTAATATGAGCCCATCACCTCATCTGCTATGTAACATAACAAGGCCAATAGCTGTGCTGACGCTTTGAAGTCCCTGCTCACTGTTATGCTCGGTATTGCCCTGTGAGGGCAGAGGAAGGCTAGGGGTTACAGGTAAAGACTGCCACTGACATCTGACATTCTCAGGCATTTTATTCTGCCATTCACACTGCATCGTCCTTGCAACAAAACACGTACCTTGTCCACAGTGACTCTAACCATTTCCAGCAGTAAAGCAGCTGCCTCCGCACACAAGCCAATTTTGAGGACATTCTCCATAAGATGGTGCTGCAAGATCCACTGCAACATAGACTCAAGATCTTTCTACAGCAGGAGGGGAGATATTTCAAGAAGAGATGGGAATTATATATGATACATAAAGAACAATGCCTGCTCTCTCCACATCAGAAAATACCCAAAACATTTTCACCTCCAGCAGCTCCTCCCTCTCCTATTAAATGTATTTCCCCAGGACAGCACTCATGGACTGTCCTCTTCTGAAATATATCTTCAGCACTGCTGGGGCAAAACTGCCTTACGACTCCTCAGGACGTTGGGGGAAAAGCACCTAAATCCACTAATTCAGAGATTTTAATGAGTCTTGACAATGTAAGAACAGACAGAGAACCTAGTCTGAATTACCTACTAAAGTACAGTACTTAAACAGCATTTAACACTTGCATGAGCAAGTTTGTTCTGCACACAAACTTCCTTAAATCAAAGTTAACTTCCTTAAATTTTAAAGTATGAATGAGTAATTTTAACTATCACAAAAACCAAGTAGGGTTAACTTGCCTGAGAATCCTCTCACAGAAAAGGTCACAAAATGTCAAAGTAGTAAAGCAATAGCAGCTTCATGCTTGTCCACTATTCTTTTCATACCTTGGCTGCTTCAGGTGGTTCAGACTGTGGAGTTGCCAGAAAGAGCCCTGCCACGAGCAAGTAGATCTCAGGGATGTGGACATGATCAGTCAGGCATCTTTGCAGCACAGAAAACCCAAAAATCAAGAAGGAGCCATTGTCAGGCACTGGAGGATGAGTTTTTAAATTATCTTCAAAGAAAAAGAAAAGGAAAACATTCTGAGGAAGTATCTATAAATGAATGCCATATCAGATGAAAGATTACTGTCCCAACTTTATCCTCATTTGTCTGTGTCCCAGGTCACTCAGTACTCTGCTAGCCTGTAACATCAACAGTTGACAAAACTTCCTCAGACCAACAGATAAAAATTCTTCCTGCTATCACTTTTGTTAGAGAAGTTTCTCCCTGAATTCTTCTTCCTTTCTTTTCCCTTTCTCAGAACCACAGGTTTAGTTATCAAAAACCAAGCTGAACAAATCTTCAAGAAACAGAAAGTTTCAGGGCACAAGCTGACATCTGAACACCTCACAGGCTTATCAACTGGCCTGATTTTAATGCAAGACAAAAAGGCCCATCTGCCTGCAACTGCTAATCGGAAATGCCAACTATCTTCCAAAGCAGAAGCAATGCTTTCCACTCTTCAGCACAGAAAAGCTGAAGTACTAGGATAAGATTGATCTAGAAAGTAATATGAACTCTTGGTCTACTCAGATCAGTAGGAATTCTCCTATCACCTACTTCAGTGATCTCCTGTCACTGAGCTGGACCAAGGGATTGTTTTGGGAGCATTAAACCAATACATACCCATTAGAATACTCAAACCCGCAGAGCTGTTTTCCAGCCAGCGCCCAGCCACTATCCCCTCCTTGAATTTGTTCAGCAAAAAACGATTGTGGAGGAAGCACAGAAGTAGCTTGATTCCTAGCACAACCGTGCTAGAGTGCAGGTAGCTCTGTGTGAACAGCAGAAACCAGTCCGGCCCCAGTGCCAAAAATGTCTCCTCTCGTTCCCTAGGACAAACAGGGAAATGAAAACACATGAAAGGAGACACGATGAAAGACAGAAAGGAAATTTTATTCAAAATTATCTCTAAGTGACTTAGAAGCCCAAGTTTCTATAGAAAAAAACCGATTAAAGGTGTACCGCAACACAGAATTACAAATATTTAACAGACTCACCCACACAGTTCAAGCCACTTAATTCCCACTAAATCCAACCTTATATTACTGTCAGACAAAAAACCTCATTAACATAAAGCTCCTTCTGAGAATATGTATCAATAACTGAGGTAAACTACATCACAGACTAGATCTTTCAACCTATGAAATTCAAAATTCCAGTTTAAATTTTGAAGTCCAAGATATGTTAACTAATGAAAATGCACAGTTACAGCACCCAGCACTATGAACTCTGCCTTTCAGTTATAAAAGGTAGAACTATAGTAACTGCATGTTCATCATTACGATACAGGGGTGCAAGTAATCCCACATTAGATTTAATTGATTTTCAAAGACAGCAGGGATTTCTTCAACCCTTGCCATGCAGAAGAAACATCAATATCCAAGTTCCTCCTTTGAGACATCTTCTGAAAACATTAAACTTTTTTCAAAATAGGTATCAGATGTGTGATCTGATCACACATACGTGTGAAAGCCAGATAAATCACTGACAAAAAATAACTCTGAATCCAGTCTCTTCTTACTTACTATTTTGTTGAGACCCAAATATTACCAGTGTGTTTAGTCGTGGTCAAGCACCAGGAAAGAAGAAATCTAGAAGACAGACACACTTATCTATGCCTTCCTAAACTGTTTCTACTTACTCAGAGGACAGATGAAGTTTGTCTGAGCGCATTACATCTAACAGCATCTTCAGTAACTGGTTTCGAAGCCAGATTGTCTTTCCAGATGTTTGGCTTAAGGCTAAAATATCAGAAAGTAATAGAGAGTAATGAAGAGACAAAACACATGTTCCATTGCTTTGATGAACAACCTTGTTTGCACCAGATTAGACCAGTGGAAGTACTTATATCAGTCTTTTGTAGAGTAAAAAGATGCAGACATCAGATTTTAGACATAAGAATTTCTGCTAACATCAGAAATGACCAGTGCTTACATTGTCAAAGTCCTCTTTTTAGACTTACATAAAACTCATCCAAACTACATGTTGAATAATAATCCACAGGAAGCAATCTCAGGTTAACTAAAGAGGGAAATGTAAACAGGCAATCTGACTTGTATTGCCTAGCTGTAATGTCTCTTTCTATAAACTACACTTATCAGTGTCTCCTTAATATAATATATTGTTCAGAGGTGCAATAACCAATATCGTCTCAACTGAAAGATCACAAGGAATGAGCCAACTGACTGGAAATTCCCACACACAAAATTGACATAAATACACAGATACTTTAAAAGGTGCAGAGCTCCACATTATTATTTGCTACAACTGTAAGTGTAGTAAAGTGTTCACAGAAAATCCAGAATGCCAAGTGAAATTTTATTCCTCTTAACAGCCTAGTACATTAGTTTCAGGGCAATTTAAATTTAACGGCCTTCATCTCTATATATCTGTGAAATCCAAGATTGTGTAGGCTCTGGAAAATGCAGCCAAAGTACTGCTGGCTTATTAGCACAGAGAGGACAAAAGCGGAACTCCCTTAGCAGGAGGAGGATCTTGCAGTAGGTCAGGCCTTCCTGGATATATACACAGTGACTGTCACTTCACTATTCTTCACATCAGGCCTTTGTAGCAATATAAGTTTCCCCCACAATTTCAGGTCACCCTAATGCAGCCTCTTCATTTCCAGATGAAGTAATTTGAATTGTGTCTGTTCCGGCCACTGGTGGCAGAAGCACTGTGTTGCATCATGCCCTGGGGAAGAAGGGAGGTACTTCAGCTATCTGTCAGAACATATACACCAAAGTTAGCTCCTCACCTTCATTGGGTATTTCAGCCACACCGTCCATGCAAAGCTGATTTTCATCCACAGAGGAAGGTTTCAAAGTGTAAACGAGGAACAATCCAATCCTTGCAGAGAAAGAGGGAAGCAGTTTTGGTCAGCAGAAAGACAGATGTTATTTTAATTACTTTGAGAGTACATGCAAATCTTAATACTCATTAACAATGACTGTTAACGACAACCATTGGAAACTCTAATCACTGCAGAAATAGAGTTGAAATAGGAATGCAAAAGTTCATAAACTAGGAAGCAAATAAAAAGGACATCTATCTACAAATGCAAGTAAAATCTGTTCTACCATGAAATCATTTTTCTCTTTAGCTCTTTATTTTAAAGGTCTTTCACCACGAGGAAAGCAATACTGAGTTAAGCACCCTATTCATACAAAAGATTCTGAACTGCCTGTGGCACTCAGATATCACTGTTATCACTTGGTTTCCAAGCACATAGCAGAGAGCAGAGAAACCTCAGCAGGTACTCAGGGAGGAGGACTGGCAATCTCTTTTCACCTGTGGTTCGCTTTGATGTATTACCTGGTTTGAAGGATAGATAGATTAATATGACATACACACTTAGTGAAAGTGCATAACCTTCTCCTGCCCACAGGAAGGGCATTTCTTAAGGGACAGAACACCACTTGTTCTGCAGGAACACTGCAATTTCCATTAGATGTATCAAAAGTCTGGGACCAGCAGAAACCCCAGCACCTTTCAGTGCTGCAGGGAGCCTGTTATAATCATAGCTGTCCTAGAGCTGGAAGGATAGGGACTGTCTTTATCCTCTCACTCAGCACTCATGGGCTTGACAACCAATCAAATTATCATGGAATAACAAATCATGATATTTTAAGAAAAATGTTCATTCACACTCCTTACCACATAGCAAATTTGATGTACTAAATCCACAACTCACACCTGTACGAAAAAAGAATAGGCTAACTCATACAAGCCCAGGGTATGAACATACATATAGGTAATTCCACAAAACAGCTGGCAAGCAGCAAGTTCACATATTAGGTTACTCCACAGTAACTACTTGAGGTGCTCATACTCTTCAACAGAGCTAAAGGCTAACTGCAGAGACCACAGGTTTGACATGCAACTGTTTCTATGTTTGTTTGGACAAAGAGCTTTAAAAACACAGCTGTCATCTGTGCAGTGCATTTCCCTGGAGTTAGGTGGCTGTAGACAGCACTGTGTAGACCTTCTTCAGTTCATAGGCTACAGGCTAATGCAACGAGGCTGGGAATATAAAATGAAGCAGTGCTTACATTCCGTGGAAAGCAAACAAGGATTTAAATTCTTTGCTTCCCAAAATCCTGACTAACATATCTTAACTAATTGAAATTTAAGAACAAAAAAGATAGTTACTGGGACATAAGCCAAACCAACAGGATTAGGTATGTAGTTGACTGGGGCCAAGTTGCAATACTATAGCAATCGCAGTATTTCAGGGGCAGGCTTTAATGAAACCAAATATTACATACAGACTTAGAGTAGTCCCAGTCATACCAGCAGAACTGTTTATGCCATCATTGTAAGGGTCATCACCCAACCTATCTTTACATAAATATAAGGTTGGACTGAACTCTGTTTTGAAGGCAAGAAAGAGTCTTTCATCAGTGGGGATCCTGCAGTTGCCAAAGATCTGGGGGCTCCTACCAAAGATGAGGTGAAAGAAATTCTACTGTAGAGCTCTCTACAACACTGGCAGGAATATAGCTCACCTGCAACCTGACAAAAAGCTATAGACTTGAACGTTACCTGAGAACATCCCTTGTGTTAAAGTATCCTTGCAACAGATGGGAGAGAATAGTGCAGACCACAGTGGTCCTGGAGTTACTGATTTCAGGATCATTGAAGAGGAAAATGAGCTTGGGCACCATTTGCACCTGGTAGGCAACTGCAGCATTCTGACATCCATCTCTGTAAAAAAGCACAGAGACTATTAAAAGCTTTTACTGGAAAGAACCAAATTTGCTGGGTTTCAGCTAAGAGGATTCTCAGGCTGCACTGATACTTTGCACCTTTGGCTACTAATGTTGCATTGGCAACATTTCAAACACTGTCAGACAAATTGAATATGTGTCAGGGATAGAGATCTGAAGATTTCTTTGCGTGTTCTCTACCCTGCCCATCTGCCCTCTCTCCCCCAGAAACTGCTGCATTTCAGTGAGTTCAAAGAAAACAACATAATTGAATTTTCAAGCAGTGAGTTGGTGGTAACAAATGCTATTCCTGTAAAACTCAACAAGAGACACCAGACAGCTCTGCACAGAACTTTCTGGTACCAAAAAGAAGGAATCTATCGTCCTGTCATACTCAGCCTCTCTGCCATGATATGTCTCTTCAGATACATTTAACTCTAGTACAGCTGATTAAGAAAGCATGCTGTTATAAAAAGTCTTGAGTTGCATTTTGGTTTTAAACACAAGTTCAATTATATTTTTCACTTTTTTATACGTTCATAGTCAATTCAAACATTCAGATTTTCCCTCCCCAGCAGACATCTAAACTTTCATTGTACAGCAGTGATTCCATGTGAACCAGGTCATCAGATAGCTTCTCAGTCTGGCCCCACAGTCATCTCAGGGGCGGATCAAATCACTGACTCCAGCCTTGAAAGTGCAATATAGGAATGATTCAATCCCAGAGTCCCCTGATTCCAACTAGGATTAAACCCTTCATATCCACCTCACACTTCCAGCTTCAGGTTACAGATGAGCTTGTCCCACATGTTTCTGATTCAATACTAGCTTGTATACCTGGAAGACTGCAAGATCTCCAGAAGATGTGAAAAAAGAGCAAGGTCAAGATTTTCTGGTGCTTTCATCCAAAGCTGGAAGACAAAGGAAAACAGAGGTTTTACTGCTCTGCTGAGAGGACAGTAACCTGTGGCAGAGAAACCGTTACAAGTAGTTCAGGGAGGATAACATCATAAACTCTCAGTCGTTTCTGCAATGACAACCTGCAGGCACTGAGAAATCTCTGCCAGCATGACGAATTGCTGCTCCTGAGCTAGCCCTTAGGAGCAGGCCCTCAGGATCTGCAGGAACACTCCAGAAACTGTACCAGGCACAGTGGGGAGCCATGCTGAAAGAGGACCTGCCATTCCAGAAGTTTCCATCTCTCCAGGTGAGTGACAAGGTGGGAAACCACCACACACCACCTCATCCAAAATATTGGATCCAGGAGGCGCTATGAACAAACCAAACCTCACACTATAAAGCCATCATTAATACAGCCAAACCCACAAAGTAACATTAAGAGTTTTACCTCGAAGTTGCAGAGAACATACTGGAATGCATTATAATTCTTGATGACTGAAGACTCAAAGCCAAGCTCAGCTGTGCCCACTAGGGAGAACATTAACTGTAAAATCCTGTTGTTTAACAGTTGTGTCTTCATCTTCAATAGATAGGTCAACAACTGAAAAAAAGAAGATGAATAAGTATCTGTTGAGTATAAATATGTATTTATAAACTAACATATAACATTATTTTTTAATTCAAGACAAATGTGCAATTTACTTGGCTGTAGTAGTCATGCATGCGTACATCTTACATAAGCATCATAAGGAAAGTGAAGATTTCAGTCCAGGCGTAAAATTTTGTGCAGTAAGTGAAAGGGTAAGTTTTTGAAGGAGTTTGCCAACTCTGTGGCATTGAACAGGAGCAAAATATATGCATATTATGTTGAATGCAATTTATAAAAAGCAACATAGAAATATAATTGTAAATAACCACAGTAGGTTTTCTACACTATTCTTCATGGATGTATTCTCAGTTGATGGTAAATAGTGTTAGTTTACAAAAAAATATTAACATTGACCTCTTCAAATGAAAGATGTGTGTGAAACATTGCTAATTTCTCAACTGAATCTATCCTTGATTATTCAATTAATTCCTAATACAGTAAGACAAGTGTTCAGAAAGCCATCACATTTTTAATAGGTTGGGAGGAACAGACCTTCATTTGAAAATACATATTAAGACACATTTTTATTAGTTGGCTGTTTAAAAAAAGAAAAGGTTTAGACATCCAAACAAAGAGCAAAACCCCTCCATTGCAACATGATGATCAGTCACATGGAGAGAACACTATTTAGCACAAAGTCTAAAGGAACAGCTCGTACACAATCTAAAGGCTGGCATTGACCTACAAGAAAGGATTGGGCAAGCAATATCAAAGTATGATAAATATATTCTTATGAATCAGGATCAATTTATGAACAATTCACAAATTGGAAAAATGGAAAGTTTATAATAAAACGTTCATGAAGTCCTAATGTTAAGAGTTTCATTTGGAACCATCTCTATTAAGGATTCTTCTCTGTTCCATAAGACTCTTCTTAGCCTAAGCAGCATAAACTAAACGATACTGAACTGAAAATTCACACTTGAGCCTTAAACCATCCAATATTACATATATAGCGCTTAAATACAACCAAACTTCTCAGTTTGCACAGATTTCAGGTTTGAAAGATGAACTTAGGACAGACCTAATCAATGAAATCCAGACAGCACTTATTTATATCAGCCCAATTCCTAATACACAGTGAAGACTGAGCCATAGGAACTCATTGCCAACCCTACACTGGGCAGTCGGTAAAGAGGAATCTTAGGCTGGATGAGTCAAGGGAAGGAAGCAGAGCTGCCTCAGAAGTGGTCTTTTGTGGGAGGGATCAAGTTTGTTGGTAAAAAGTGAAGGGTGAGTTACTCACAAATCTGCTGCCCTGGCTTATTTAGTTTATTAGATCACATCTGACCAAGAGGCATCCATCTTCAACTTCACATCAGCAGACACACTGTTATAGAGGTTGCCAGAAATTTAGAGCACTATCCTATATCCCCCTTTCAAAGATCTTATAACTTATAAAGTTCCAACCACAAGTGCTAATAGCCAAGATATGTTTGGCTTATTGCCATTGACAGGTTTTGGAATAAGGTTCTCCAAGGGAAAGACTATAAAGAGAATGAATGAACGGAAGAGTAACTACCTGGTATCCATGCATGTGCCTCATCAATTTTTCACTCATCGGGCTACTGTTCAGGACGGAGTTCAGGACTTTGACAGCTGCATACATGGTGTGGTCATCACGGGCCATAGCAATGAGACCCAGGAGAATGGCAGGGCCTCCAATAAAGTTCAGGCTAGTAGCTGCTGGAGAGGACTGGAACACTCTTACCCCTAGGAAATTGCAGTGTTACTCTACCAGGAAGTTATATGGACTAAATCTGTTATTGGACAGAGAAAGGCCCAAATCTTAAAAAAATATTAAACATTAAGACATAGTGCATTTACCATATTGGCCCACAGCAACTGACCCAATAGTCCGCAAGGAACCTGAGAGGTGTCCAGCAATATTCTTAGCTAGGAATATTGGAGTTGAGCTGTCCCGAGAGTTAATCCCAATCTAAAACAGAAAAAAGACATCCTAAGAAAAAATGTGGCAGTACTAGGGAGACAAAAAGTAACAAGCAGATGCTCTAATACTTTTATTAGACTATGAAAGCTACTTTTTTTTTTCCTTCAAAGTTGATTGTTAGGACAAACATTGACCTGCCTAAAATATCCTACAACCCCATTACTTTGACATGTCAGTAGGCCTGACACGGGCAAGAATGGTAGAATAGCATGCAAAAGGTCATTGTGAAGGCATTAAGAAATCACAGACTGAAAGAAATTATCATTAGACCTGAAAACTGTGGTTTCTGTTGCTGTTTCAAGAAAGGCTTTTAACATTGTATTTACACTATCCAATCCACCCCTCTCCACAGATGAAAACAAAACCATGAGTAGAATGGAGTTAAGAAATGAGAAGACGGAGAGAGGGAAAAATAAATATCACTGAAGGTACACAACTAAGTCAAAGTCACAAACTTTGCTCTAGAAAATCAGAAACAAGAGAAAACATATTTAAGAAAAATGAGGGAAATTTGTGACCTCTTTGGCAATCAGCCGGCCATCCACTTCATTGTAGGAGCTCTTTATATCTTGAACCGTAGTGAAGGATGAGCACTTGGCATTGATTCCAAAATAAATCTTCTCTTCTGCCACTAGAGGTGTAGGATTATGATCACTGTACTGGTTCTCACCTAAAACAAGAGAGACTGTAAACCTCTGAAGGAATTTTGCATGCTCAACATGTGAGACAGGAGAGAGGCAGATGAAAAATAACTGGAGGAAATCAAAGTTTACATAGATTTGATTTTGACTTAACTATAATCAGAAAAAAAACCTAACCCTTTGCAACACAGTCCACGGCAGCTTGCCAGTGTAAACACCAACAGGAGATGTGCTTGTCTTGTCTCCTTTGGTTACTGCTTTGTGTAGATCCTACATCTTCTCTCAGTATCTCATGAAGCTCAGAAAAGTCCAGAATAAACCTTTCTCTGTCCACACAATACAAACAAACTTTCTGGGCAGAGAAAACATTTCAGAGGCCTTCCATGTTACTGGGAGCTTTCTCAGGAGTACTAGGAGCAAGGATTCATATGGAATTAAAAGGACCGAGGCAAAAGTTCAGAGCTGCAAACTCACAACACATGGGAAACATCTAAAAAGTACCAGGTTCAGCAAAAAATTAATGATTGTGTGAAATTCTCACATGCTGCTCTTTAAAGAACTTTCTATTCCTACTTGCACTTGGAAAAACTATGTGTACCTTTTATAAAGAAAAAAAACTTGTATTTTTGACAATTTTATAGACTGGGAAAACAGTTGATTTATGAAACCTTTTACTAATGCTGGTGACACAGCCCTTACAGGCAAAAAGAATTAGCACATATTCCACATGACCATTAACTAGAAGTAAATGCCCCAAGACTATGTCACCTATTTCCCTTCCAGTAGGACACAGACTTATGGCTAAGCCTCTGCACAGCTGCTGCTGATTAGTGAGAAGCAATGAGATACTGGTGAGATGGGACACAACACTGCTAGAACAATTCAAACTGCTGTTCACAACAAGGTCATAAATCCATTTTAAGGAATAAACCATAATATTTGGGGGTTTTGTGCTGAAACTTTTAAGTTAAAATTTCCATTATAAAAGTTTCTTTGTGTGTTTGGATGGAATAGGTAGACATTAGGTACCATCTCCCCTCCCTGCCCTGCCTCACCCCACCACCCAAAAAACAAAGAAACAAACAAAAAAAAGTCAACAACAACAAAAAAAAACCCAAAACAACGGGAGAGGCGGGGCGAAGAGAAAGAGATCATTTCACAGTGATGAGACCACATCTTGTATGGTGCCCTGTGATTTCTTTGCATCAAGGCATCATTGGAGTCAGGTGGCCACAATCCATGATTAGTACTAAAGTCCAGCTGGGAAGACCAGTGTGCAGAGAACAAGCACCTCAGACTTCATAAAGACTCAACACTTCAAAAATCAAATGCTTCTGACTTCTATTGGTAATACCTTTATTTTAGGGTTGTATTTTGATATAATTTCTCTTTCAACAACCTTTTCCCGTGCTTGATTTGGAGATTATTTTTTTTTTGTCTAGATAGACTGCATTCTGAAGGAGTACTTTCAGTCAGTCTTTTCACTTTGCTGTAGGCTGGAGCATCACTGGGTGAGATTATTCTGCTCTTTTCAAGTAGGAGATGGCCATTGTATTTCATCCCGAGCTCTAGTACAGAGATGAATGCACTACTTGTTGAACAAACAGTAATCAATAACTGAAATGTTTTGTCTACCTGTTTAATAATTGAAGCTAACAGCATACTAGTTAAAAAGCCTCTTCATTAAATGGAATGTAACTTATTCCCCTATCCCTCTCTCCCCTGTGCTCTCTCCTACTTTGCAGGCATTTGCAATTAAAGATGATGCTTCTTTTTCTGCTATGTTCTTTCTGTAGCACCATAAATGCAGAAATCTCAGTTAAAGCTGCTGCTTTAATGTTTGTCCAACAGAAATTGCAATCTTGCATCTCCTCAAGGTCATGTTATCCCTCTGTAATTTCCATCTCTCTCTGCTGCTTGATTTCTGCCCTTCTTTTTCTGCCCAATTTACAGTATGTTACAAGATCCTCATGGTATCTTACTACAATCTTGTAAAACACTCAGTAATGCAGAGTTCCAGGCTTTTAGAGTGAGCTCTGGGCACAGATGGAATACTAATAGCAGATTATAAGAATAAAAAGAGCATTGTCCTGACAAACAAATAGTGGTGGATACGAGAATTATCACATACCTTCAAGCTGTACTGCTTGGAAATTGCTACAATACTGTGGGCCAAGCCTATTAATCGCCTCCATGGTTTCCACAGAGATGGCTTCTTCAAACAAGTATGTAGGGCCAAGGCGCCAGGTCAAGGAGGACTTCTGTTTCCAAATTCGAGGAGTAGCTATGTACCCATAGACATCAATAAAGGAAGAGGGTTCCATGGAAATACAGCTACCTGGTAAGGGCTGGAGATACTGCATCTGCAACAGAGGAAGAATTCAATAAGGAGACCTAATACACTTTGGGTGCCTTAAGGTATTGTCCCTGGACAGTACTGCCTGCTGCCTCTTTCCTCAATTAAGTCTCCAATCAACTGTGTAACCCAATTATCAAGTACTGTTTAGAAACTGGACTTTCTGAAGTATCACAAACATAAGCATTTTGGAAAGTTCAAGCCTACTTTTTATACAAAAAACACAGTCAAAATTATTTGAAGTGTTGGCAAAGAAAAACCCTATCTTGACCCCAGACTTATTTTTCCTGTTCTAAATTTCATAACTCAGACTGTGACTTTTAATACAGAAAGCCAAGTTACAGATTTCACATTGTACTAGACACCTAAACAGTTTTTGAAAGCGTAGAGTGTTCAAGTGCATCAGTTAGCTTCAGTGAAAGCTACACAGTTTAGGAAATTGGACCATTGGCTTTTTTGGTATCAAAATAAGGATTTAGCCTCATAAACTGAGTCTATTTTATTTAAATATGGACAGCTCTAATAGGAAGTAGTTGGAATTTTTTTGGTAGAGAGAAACTATATTGCACATCAGGGCTTAGCCCTGCTTTTAACAATTTGCTGTTAGGATGACAGACTCCTAGCATTTACTGATCTCTGACTACTGAGATGTAGAAGACAGGATTGGTCAATATTAGGAGGCAGGACTCGATACTGGAGTGAACAAATATTAGTCTTGATGCAATGCAGTAACCCCCCACCCTCCAGCTCCAGCACCCAAAACCAGCTTTTGGTATTCTTAAAAACCTTTGTGCAATTCTAATTTCTTATACAATCTTTTCTTCACTGTACACACCAAGATGAAGGCTTGCATCATGTCAGAGACCCCAGCACTGGGATAATCTTTTATTTACTAAAGGCTTGTTTTATTTATTATGAGCTGTTTTGCTGTATGTTAAACACATTTTCTGTAAATTCTTTAATCAATTGCAGTGCTTAGGCCTAGTTTTATTGATGACTTTCAGTCTCATTTGAAGAAAGGCAAATTAAATTAAATTTTCATTCTTGAAATGAATATAGGTCCCAAAAGGCATTTAGAAGATAGATCATTTTTTCTCAAGTATGGGAAAGAGAATATTTGGAATTAAACAGGTTGCTTTTACAAGGGAAGTAAAAAACACAGAAGTGAGCTCTGCACATGTTTAAATTGATTTGAAACATGGGACAAGAAGGAAGAGACCAAGGTTACAAGTTTCAGTTAATAAACAGATTCTATTCAAAAACAAAACCAAAAAAACCACCACATCAACAAGATGTGCAATGGAAACAGGCTGCATTTTCAACATTGCCAGCCTGAAGCATTCAAAATCCCCAAAATCAAATCTCAGAAATAATTTGACGTTAGCTTCAAAACCGGAGCATGATGATAATGGTAATATAAACCAGGAGCTCTTCTCATTTATCCTGTAGATTATGAACTCTTCAGGTGCATTTGGATTGCTTTCTCATGATATCTCATGCAACCTGAGAAATTCACCATTTGAGAACTGACTCCTATGCAACAAGGAGATCACAAGAAATGGCACATTAGGGGAAATACTAGCTACACCAACATTTACAATGAACCCATGAGTTGGTATCATTGAAATTTACAAATTTCTCCTAATTCAAACATTTCTTTCATTTCTATTAACTCAAAAAAGAAGTATTGTTTTAATTCAAGAGCTATCTCACACACTGAACAACTAATCCAGAGGAACATCTATCTTTTCCTAAATGCTTAGAGTGCCAGTGGGAAAAAGGCCACCAACTCATCAGCTGATTGTTCAATGGATGTAATGGGAAGAGAACAGCTTGAAATACGCTCATGTGAGGTGCTTGGGGAAATTCCATCCATCTTGAGATTCTTGCAAAGAGCTGTCCAGTCATAGAAGCTTATTTCTGTGACCTTCCTGCTCTTCCATGCCTTTCTTCAAAAAATGAAGGCTCGCTACATAAATGATCACATCTGCAGGTTTTAGCCTAAATCCAAAGCACCTTCAGTTTAGGGTTCTCTGGTCACACTTTGATGTGATGTATTTTTTATAGCTAACAACTTCTGAAAATCTTGAGTGTAAACTGAGAAATCCTCAAAATCACTAGTCAATTCAGAAAATTTTGGCCTAAGGGTACAACAGAATTTCATCAACGTAACCCTGAGCTACCTGCAAACTAGGTAACCCCAACTCTCAGATGACTCTCACCACTCAAAATTGCCCTGGTTATCTGCATGCTGAGGCGGAAGGAAGGAACTAGTTCAAAGCATCAGTATAAGCTGATAACATACTTCTGAAAAGCAGCACAAATACACCCTGGTTTGTATGTATTTCTGACTCCACTCACAAACAGCACAGAGTGGCATGTGTTATATGTGCAAATTACCATGCTTTGAGTCTCTCAGATTAATACTGAAAAGTCATGGTATGTGCATGGGGAGATGAAAATGAAAAGCAATTAAAGGCAAATGTCAGGCACAAGATGTATGCAGAGAGCCTTTACCTTTGCAGAGCCAAGCATCTGACCATTTATATAAGCTGACACAATGCAGTTCTTCCTTGCTTCCTTAGCAACTGTCACTGTGAGATGATGCCACTGGCCAGTGACCAGCAGCTTGCCACAGCCAAACTGGACTTGCCCTGGAAATGGGGAGGGATTTAGGACCTCACCCTCAGGTTCCATGATATCTGTAACAGCAAAAACAGGGGGCAGTCAGCAGAAAATCTCTTTCACTTTCCCCTGCCTCTGGAACACAACTATCAAATATGACACTAAGAACATGACTCTCTGAGTAGAGAGTGATTTGGTGCTATTCTGTTCAATGTCTTTAAAACATTCCCTGAAGGTCTATTATCAGGACCTGAGACTTGCACAACTCTCAAGATCCCTCCAGCATACAATGTGCCATACTCCCAAATACCACTTGCTAGCTGCCTCAATACCGCAAAACTAGACTGAACTAGGGCAAAGCCCACATGTTCTCTAAGAGAAGCCCTCAGGATATTCACTGAGTTAGCTGACACAGAAAAAAATTCCTAGCAAATTAATGAGATGATAAAACTGTACATTAATTTGTAGTTTTTACAAAAAGAGGCAAGCTGGGATTTTTAACATCACCTAAGGGAATCAGAGCACTCACACAATGTCAGCTGTGCATGAAAAAGTCCCAGCTACTATTCCCACTCCATTCCCAGTCTCCTCTGCAACGTTCAATTACATTCATATTTGAAGTACCTACTGTACTCAATAAGGAGAAAGGGATAAATGTCAACAAGGAAAAAAGATTAATAGGCTGGCACAATAGAAAAAATTCTAAAAATGAGGAGAGGAAATGAGCTGTTTAATTGGGAAGCTAGATCACTCTCAAACTCCTCAGTCCTACTTCCCAAACCTGCCTACTGCCACACAGAACAGCAAGGACCGGCTGGTTCAAGTCCAGTCCCCACAACTGCACACAACCATATAACTGACATTCAAAAGTTTTCCTTAGAATATATAGTAAGTTTCATCATATATTGCAGGCCACAAAATAATTTTCAACGCCTACAGCAAACCAAGAATTACAATCCAGCAGGCTGCCAGAAGGAAACTGAAGAGATAAAAAGTCTCATTAATGTCCTGGGTACTTACAAGAGGAGGAAATTTGCTAATCAAAAATTCCAGATAATCAGAGGACACAGCACTGCAGCTTGACTGAGAAGAGCCTTACCGAGCGGCTGGAATTCCACTTCTTCTGTGGAAATGACCAAAGAAAGGTCCTGAGGGAAGAAGCTTACTGAAAAGCAAACAAATTCTTGCTCTGTTCTTGACATGTGCCTCACGACTGTGAGGAAACGGAGTGGGTGACTGTTGTTCACCAAATCAAACTTGCTAACCAGAAACCAGCAGGAGAGTGTCAGGCCGCTTGAGGGAGGGAACATTCTGGTGCCTGAAGATAAGAAACAAAAAGCCAGTAAGGAAATTGGTTTCCCTGCGCAGACATTAGCAAACTGCTGTTTCATTTGTAGCCCAAACCATGTAAGAACCAACACTAGAATACGAGGTTTAACTTGTATTCTGTTCTATTAGATTTCACTGCCTATCTTCAGTATCATAGAGATTGCACATATGAGCGTGTACATGTATAAATGACCTAAAAATTGGCTGATGAGAAATGACTACTATATCTCCATGCCACAGAGCTCATCAATCGGGAAGCACTGAGCCAGAAACAAGTTTTCTCAAAGTTCACAAAATTCAGGAAGCAAAAGGTACAGCCATTTCCTGGTTCACCCAATAGAGGATTTTCATCTATAGGAGAACCCTATTTCATGTTAAGTGACAGTTTCTGTTTCTTCCATGGGAGATTACCCCAAAATCTGGTGGCTCTTACTTGTTAAGACTGTTTTCTTACCAGCCTGCTTTAAAATTGTATTGCTAATGTTAATGCTAATGCATCACATTATTAATCTGCATCTGATATTGCATTTTGGTGAGCAGAATTATACAGCTCAGAGCAGGACTGGGACACAGAGATGGAAGTGTATTGAAATACAGTTTATTTGCTGCCATTTCTTACAAATATTGAATCTTTTCAGTGGGGTTGAAAAGTCAGTGCTTTCAGGAAGCTGTAGGTGAGTCAATGGCTTACCCATGCCAATTCCTCCTGAGACAGATTGCTCTGCACTAGGTCCCATGACAGTGGCCAATGTAGGGAGGTATAAACACCTATAAAAGCAAGCAAGCACCCATTCATCAGAAATGTAAAATCATCCCTGAAGGTCACCGGTGACTTAATATTGCAGAAGCATTGTAGCAAGGCAGAACCTAGGCTATCAGCAATAAGACAATAACAAAATAGGTTGGCAACATTTCTGCAAGGCAGGCAGTGATAGGGCTCAAGGATTGACTAAGATGAAGAGAGGAGTGATTAGTCATCGTGTTCAGAATAAGGGCTTGGAGACTACAGAGCAGCTAAAGAGAAAAGCAACAGCAGCAATACCCGTATCCTTCCATGGACATGTCAAACTCCACAAACGATGGAGCCAAAGCAGTGCTGCGGAGCTGGAAGTTTCGAGGTGATGTCATGGAGATGAGACTCATTGCAGCCTGGAGTGCCAATGCAGATCCCTTAGACACCCAAGGAGAGCTGCTGACAGGCACAACTGTCTGAGGATCACTTTTATTGTCCACCGTGTCCTCTTCTGAACCTACAAGATCAACATAGTGCCTAACCAGATCAGTGTCTGTAACACTTTTTTCAGTCACAGGCTTAGCAGTGATGAGCTGAATACAGGCAAAGAACAGTCCTGCGTGCTCTTCAGATAACACATCCTCAGCAGCCTGCAGAAATAATCACCAATACATAAAAAATATTGTACTGAATGGATTTAAAAATGGGAGGCTGGCAGGAGAGATGAGCTTACAGAATTGATAGCCATATTTTCTACCCACTCATCTTCAGGTAGCACCAAACTTCACCTCTAGCAAAAAAGGTTCCTGACCCATTGGTTCCATTTTTCTTGTACACAGACCATCTAATTCTGCCGTAACAGAATAGTTACAACCAACATGTGGGAGAGGATTTGAAGAATGACTGCAAAGAACAGAAGACAAATATTTGCCATGCTGTATCAGGTGTCTCATAGGCATGAGACCAGTTTAAGCACCAAGTACTACTAGTGTAGCCTTTCACCTACAAAATTTGTTAGAACAGAGAAAGGACTTGGATGGAAAATGGCCTGCATAAGCAAGACAGACTACTGGGATATCCTAGGGATTACGAAAAGCAGTGCTCTTTATTCAAATCTTCATTCTATTTCTAGCTATAAACCACAGGGGAAACATGCTGCAAACCCAGGAGACACTCCCATTCATTTGTGGAATATGATTAGTATTTTTATAGATTGCTTCCATGTCTGATCCAGCAAAGTCTGCGTCTATATCAGCATCTGGCTTGAGCACATGTATTATAATTTGATCTCTGCTGGTCATTAGATCAGCTCTCAGTGTTGGTCAAGTACCACGCAACCCAGGCAACACCCAGTCTAAAACATCCAGGCATACTCCACCTTTAATGTGACTGTCTTGGAGCAACCTACTCCAACAGCAGTTTCCTGTCATTACAGAGACATCTATACACCACCACTGTATCAGCAGCACATTTTTCATTATGTACTTACCTTCTTTCCAAGCCGCATTAGTTGAATCACTCCCCTGACATGAAAGGGCCTCAGTCTTGTTTGTGCTGGGCCTGGAAGGCAGTGATGGAGAACCTCCCAACCAAAGAAATTGCCTAACATGAGGAAGAGGGGAAAAAAAAAAAGAAAGCAACCGTAAAAAGGAAAACAATCAAGGCAGACACTTTGGAGTCATAGCAACCATGCAAATACAGCTCAGCCCTCCGGAGACCAATTTTCTTATTGATGTCAAATTTTAAAGACATTCCAGATGAAATAGAAGGAATGTTTTCTATTCTATCATCACAAATATTTTGTTTTACACTTCCTCTTTCAAAAATCAAAAGGTTTGGGTTTTTTTTTAATATGTCCTCTTTCAAACTATCAAAAGCTTATTTTCTTCAGCAATACTTCTGAATACTACTAATTTTTCCGAAAAAAACCTATGGGTTTTTTTGGTGGGTTTTGTTCCACTTTTGAGTAAAAGAAATCTAATCTTCCACTGCATACCTGATCTCTATTAGGTATTCTCATGCCTAGCATTTGTTAACATTAAAGAAGAAAGTACATCCTCAAAGTAGAAACAACAGAGACTGAGAAACAATACTACACTTTTTGTTTCTGCATCTGACATGGATCCAAGCTAGGAGAAAGTCACTTTTACTCTTCAGGAAACAGCTTCTCCATATAAATACCAAGAGAGAATAATCCTAGTTGTTTTGCAATTACTGAATTAGTTATCATTCATAAATGGTTTCACAACTCCTGCAGAGATGATGCAGCAGAACAGTACAGACTCATACCACCTTCAGTAAGTCATTTAAGCATATATCCTGTGATCAATATGTAGGTAGTATTAACTGAGACTTGAAACAAAAGGCTGAGAGTCTTGCTGAATTAGAGCACTACATGAAGTATCTAATAATTACACAAATCTTGCAAAGAATTTGCATCACTAAAGCAAATTGGCTCCATTAGACACATTCTGATACCTTAACACATCTGGCTCAATAGCCTGTGATGCAAGCTTCTCAAACACTCTAGTGAGGGGCAGATGCAGCGGATGGCTCGCATTGCGGAAGGCATCCTGACAAGAAGTTATGATGGTGCTCAGCAAGCCAGATCCACACATCACCTGGCGACTCTTCTCTGACTTCACCAGGGACTGGATATGATCAACCACAGCACACTGGATTTCCTGTGAAAGCTGAAATGGACACAGAACTGAAGTCAGTGGGCTGGAACTAAAACTGCACAGTGTGACTGATTTTTTTTCAATTGTCAAATCTCTAAGTGTAAATATTTGGCCCAGAAAAGAAGCCTCTAAGGCCAGAGGCTCAAGTGCAACTGCATGGCTGTTCTATAAAACTCTGCACTTGTACAGTGTGCATATATCTGAGTAGCTGCTTAGCCATCCACAGTTGAGCTTTCTGGCCACAACACTATGATAGTGAAGGAAGAGAGCAATCAGCTGTCATTCAAAAGAAGGGATCACCATCAAGAGCAGGTTATTAGGCATAAGCTCCAAGACCAACACAGTAACTCAAAACACATTTAAAATTAAGCACATGGAGAGACATATTGACATGATATACTCTTCATTGTAAAAGCACTGTTCTTAAACAAAACTGTATCTAGCAGTATGATGAAACACTTAATTTTAAACACTTGTCTACATGTTTTGCCGAATTGAAGCTTTACTTCATTATTGCTTCTTAATGCTCTTAAAGAAGTATCTCAATTCTGATAAAATATTTTTAGAGTAATTTGTTCCCAATTAGGAATGGAGTCTACCCCATTGACCTAACTAGATTTCACACAAAAGTAACAGTGCATTATACATTTAAAAACAAATATTACAAAGATTAAGTGTTCCCTACCCCCAAGAGCTCTTTGGTTTTCATATGCTCTTCTAGGAAGTGCCTAAGCAAACTTTTAAAGAAAAGGACAACAATGGTGGCAGACACACAGATTAGAACATTGGGATTTGATTTTATAACATGAATGAGAAGCAACTTCACTGGATTCAGAACAAGCTGGCTTATTAAGTGTAAAGAGAAAGTCAGCTCTTTTGCACCTAGACCAAACAAAACCAGTACAGGACAATTTCAAAGCCAACAAGCAATTTGTTTTCAAAGTGCTCAGCAACCAAAAGCCCCAATTGCAACACATAGACAATAATACTAGCATATCCAATGCACCATACATATTGCTTTTGTAAACTCAACTATTTTTGATATCTGAAGGGTGAGTCCTTTGCATAACATTTTCTTCTCTCTAAATGACTGTTCATTCCCAGTGACACAAGATTCACTGTGCATCTCATTACATATAGAAATCATTCACCAGACTAAACTACACTATTCTTCAGAGAGACATTTACTACTACAGTGTATCTAAGCCTTACTTATAACTTTTTGGATCTTTTAATTACTATTTTACTCCATTTTTCACTGGATGCAGTAAAGTATCTAGATGTATAAAACCATGAGAAAACAGAGGACACAGGTCTTGACTAAGTGAAACTACTGGTTTACTCCAAAATAAATCCAATAAAAGCATAATAGCATACAAAAAAATTGATTGTTTTCATGAGCTTAGCAGCTTTGTCAATACTAGCATTGCCTTCTTTTGAATAAAATGCGCTGTTTTCATGGATCTTAGTTCCAGTAAAATGAGATTTTAGTGGAAATATTAATGGTGGCCAGGAAACCAGGCTGTGTGTTTCTATATGTATGGATTGATTTTTCTAACACATATTACTTGCAACATGAATCAGGATATTGAAGGTGCAGTTAGAATGTAGCTGGGCTCACAGCTCTGCCTCAGATTAGAGTCTTAAGGGCAAAATGTCATCTAGCAATTTGCCCAATCTGCTTAAGTAGTTCCCAGATTCTTGCTCCTAAGAGCCCATAGTTTCAAAACTTGGTAGCTGAGTTTAATTCACTGTTATTTGTCTTCAAAATTACTATGCTATGTTCAAGATGAGCAAGAACTTTGAACATTTGGCAGTGTGGGTTCACTTCAAAAGGGTGTAATTTCCTTAGGTTTAAGAATGATACAGAAATAATTCTGGGTGCAGTTGCAAAAAGCAAACTTAATTTTCAATCTCAGCGTACCTCTCACTTGAAAAGCTAACAGCCCTTCATAGAAAAATTAGAATTAAGCTCCTAACATACCACAGAGATTTAGTTTTACTAATGAAGAAATCAAGGCACCAAAATTAGCGCTTTCAAAAAGTTCCAAGTGACCCAGGATTTTAAATCGTGCTTTCAAAAGAAAAGGTAGACATCCATCAGCTTAAAATCCATTGTCTGTAGAGAGTTTGAGTCACTTTTGAAAATCACCTGTGCAATTTTTTTTCCTTCAAATGTTATAAAAAATAATTCATAAATTTATCACAGCTTAAATTCCTGATGCCCAGTTCCCAGCTGCAAACACATTCCCATTCTGTCACAATATTTTGCTGATTAACTCTCACCCACTGACCTTAACAAGCAAAACTTACTTTGCTGACAGTATGTATAACAGGGTTTTACAAAGTTACAGAATAACTTGTGTTCATGTACTCTTTCCAAGTGGATAGGGGAAAAAGACACTATGAACTGTGTGAACTGTTTCTACTTTTCCAAAAACATGGACCTAGACAGGGCCTAGTTAACTGCCCCACATAAATTATATAATCTCAGTCATATCCCCTTAGTACAGCTTGTTTGTAAGAGAAGGTACAGAGCTTTCCTGATATGAATATCAGGGCTACCATTGCCTTCTAGAGAAAATACACTAGGAAGTCTTGATCATTTGAAGCCAGGCAACAAAATCACTTCATAATGTTAAGAATCCTTTTGTTAATTCTGGTGGTCTGACAGACCTCTTGCTCACCAAATTATATTTAGTTGCAGTATATTTTTACCCCCACAGTATTAGCTGAATGCAGTGTCTCCTTATTTTGCTAATCTACTGTGCAGTGCTATAATACAATGTTCATCAGACACCTGAGAGGAAGGCAAAGCTGTCTCTGTGTGCCACCTTATAAATGATATGATTGCATTAAAAACAAGACAAAGCAGAAAATTATCTTCGGTACAGTTAGCCAGGGATTCTTGGCAGAGTTCCCCTTTCTTCAACCCAGGGAACATTATGAAGATTTTAGTGCAAGTTTAGAGACACTGGCTGCTTTTTAAGGAGAAAGTGAATAGCAAGAGAAACAGGACAAATAAAAGGACAGGCTGGGGGGTTGGAAGAACAGGAAGAAAATTGCTTGGTCTGTATAAACAGTGAAAGCTTCAGAAGTTGGTTGATCAATGAACAACCAAACTTCTTACTAAAAGCCCCAAAATAACCCTGGAAAAGAACATGCAGACAGGCTGTGCATTTTCTTAAAAAAAAAAAAAAAAAAAAGAGTTGTGCTGTAATCAGGCTCAGCAAAGAAAAATCCCCCAGGAGACCAGGCTGGAGCAAAGCCTGCAGGAAAGTGCTCAGGCTGGAAGACCCACTGCCAGGGTGTTTCTAGCCTCCTTCCTCCCACCAGAGTTATGGTCCATTCTCCTTTCCTTTCTCGCAAAGCCTTGGCTGCACAACCCAAGGAGAATGAAGCTCTGGCCACATACCCAAAGAATTTCCTTGTGCAGATAATGCAGTGCAGTAATTTAGGAATTCACTGCGATATTAACAGCTACATTAGCAGTGATATCAGTAATGTAAATCTAAAGGCAGACAAATCTCAAGTGTCACACAGTTTTCTGTCAGCCATATCTAACTATGTCAGAGACCTTTTCAGTTTAGAAAGAATTTACGTTTAAGAAGTACAAATACTTGGAAAGTGTTATGCTGTTAACATCTACAGTAGAGAACAAATAGTTCAGGCTAAATTTAAAACAGGGATAAAGGGCTTTTAAAAAGGTCCAAATTCCTTATTGATACACAATGTTTTAGTTTTACAACAGCAAATACAACAGCAGTTCATCATAGGAGAGACATGGATAAAAAATAGAGAGGACAAATCCAGCTGTGGAAGCAGT